TGTGTGTGTGTGTGTGTGTGTGTGTGTGTGTGTGTGTGTGTGTGTGTGTGCGTGTGCGTGCGTGGCCTGGCTGCAGATCTCTGATGAACTTCAGCAGAGCTACGCCACCTCAGCGCTCTGGCAGTTCCTCAGCCTGGGCTATGCCCTCATGCTGTGCCCCTTCATCGTGGTCCTGGGGGGCATGTTCTTCCTGGCCACGGCGCTGTTTTTCCTGGACGACAAGGAGAAGGCAGACAAGCAGTGAGTGTTTGCACAACTCATCATTATTTCATCTATTATTTAGTCATCCATTCTTTAAATATTTAACACTCATGCCACTGACTTTTTGAGTTAAAGCCCAAAAAATCCCAACATCCCGTCAGTGTTGGAAGAAGAGGCGGTGTTGTGTGTTTTTATGATTGTGTATTTAATTTTGTGTACGCTGCCATGCTTCTTTTTTTTAAATGAACCATAATTTGGGGACAAACAGCTCAAAGTGGTTTCCAGAAACCCCCCCCAGACCCCTGAGACAACACAAAGAGCCAGTCAGCTCCAGAGACGACCCTCTGGTTCACATCTTCATATTTCACATTTTCAAGCACCAACGTTACAAAGCAACAGGAACAGCCTTAAATAAAATAAATAAATAAACCCAGTCATCATCACAACTTCTTGTTTCTTTCTGTTTGTTCCTACTTTATCACAAAGTTTTCCTCCCCTGGTGCGGGCGCTTTCAGAAATCACTTCCTTCCTGTTGAAGATGAGGTTTTAGACAGGATGGCAGCGTGATGTCTGTCGTGTCTTCACCCTGAGGAGCAGGCTGCTGGTTCTCACGCCCAAATCTGTAAACGAAACGTTTTTTTTCACAGCCAGACGAGTCAAAAAATACTTTTTCCACATTATAACAAAACTATTCTTTTTTTAAATGGGATGTGAGCTGCTAACATTTCACTGACCTCGTTTCCTTTTTTTTTACTTTAAATCTTGGGGTTAAGCAGTTAGCATTTACTTTGTTACGTTAACACAGGGGTCTGCAACCTGCGGCTCTAGGGCCACATGAGGCTCTTTGAGCCCTCTGCAGTGGCTCTTTGAAAATGTGACCAAACATAACAGAATAAACTTTTCTGTTTATTTTTTATACCCACAACAGAAATCAATTTGTATGCAAATGTAAGAGTGGGGCTTAAGGTGAATTAATCTTCTCCCACATCTCTCATAAACAAGGTTATGAGGAAACTTTTACCAAGGTATT